AAAGGCAGCTCTTGGTAGCATCAGTCTGCTATTGCCGTTCACTAAAGCAAAAGTTCCCAATCGGCTTTGATGGATGGGGTTGTCTGACTGGTCAACACGCGCTATCTGATTGAGCCTGCAGGTTGCGAACAGGCGAACAGCCGGGCAGCGAACGGCTCGGAGGGGGCAGATGCTCGTTCGAGCGCATCGATGCAACAATTACGGCTCACATTTTTGCGTTTTTGCCTCCTTTTTTGTCTTTTTTTTTTCTTTCTACTGTAATTCTTCGTGCTTTTCTCCCATCTGGCTAGCTCCTGCTGCTCTGCCGCCACTGCCGCCCGCTCCTCTCAACATCCATTATTAAGAACCTGCAATTGGTGTCCCTGCGCCTGAGGCTGCTGCACGCAGATGGTCAAGGTCGTGCGTGAGTGCGTGAGTGCGTGAGTGCGTGATGCATCTTTCAAAGCGGCGCAAAGAAATGCGCATCACTGGCCAAACAAAACTTTACCGCCGTGACTGCAGTGCTGTACATTACAGTACTGTTGCGACTAATGTACTGTGGTGTAGTACAGTAGAGTGGTGGTGGTGTCTCGCCGCACCTCGTTCCAAGTTGGCGGTGCCTATTTTTCTGCCCATCGAGGTTTTCTGCCATCCCCTTCCAGCTGCACTCCGTCAGGAAACCCTTATGCGGACCACTAGCCAAGTGCTTGCCCGCCTCGCTCCGGTGCGAGGGCGAGGGCGAGGGCGATTTATTTTTTTATTTTATTTTATTTTGCCTCGTGTCGTGCAGTACATACTACTGTAGCTGCGTCCTTGGTTTCTAATCGTGCTCCTGATGTCTCGCCCAGGCAGTTTGTCTACCTGTCCTCTCCCGTTCTGCCCAGAGGTGTGTTCGCTCGTCTATACGCAGTCTGCCGTGGTTGTCCGCGTCAGATTGGCCTCCCCCACTACGGTACTGTACTGTACACTCGAGTCAAGTTCACTACTACAGTAGTACAGTACTGTATTGCACTCTGTAGAATAATGCAGACGCTTGACCGCGCTGAGAGCAGAGTCTTGCCCACACAGATCGCGCCTGCTGCCCGTTGCGCATCGAGTTGCGCTTCCAATCAACGCTACTCGCACCTTCTGCGAAGCATTAATGCCATCGCTCATTGTTACGCTGCACCTTGCTTGGTATTCGCCATCATTCCTTTCTTCCTACTGTCACATCTGGTCGACTTCATCTTCTCGGCTCTCGTTCGACTTTTCTGCTTTCGTGTTTTCGTTTACCTTCCTCTGCCTATGGAACAAGCTCCATTCGATTCTCGCGGAGCGGCCAATTCTTGACCTTGTCCTTTTCCGTTAGGAGCATCCTCTGAACCTTCGTCTCGTTCATTTCGAGCTTCTTTCATTCTGCCGTGTTCGACTTTCACCACTCAGAACACCCAGCAATCGGCGGCTCTGGGCTACGCTGCACATCGACATCTCGTGCTTCGCGTGCTGTATCCGCAGTCGCGTCGCACCGCATCTGCTCGGCTGGCATTTCACCCGTACTTCCTTGACCACAGCGCATGCTATACGAGTCGAGACTTGCCCACAACAAATCGCTTTATTTTGTATTCAGTCTGAAGTTGGTCGTCTGATCGGGTTGTCTGACTGCCACCCCGAATATACGGCAGCAATTGGATCGTCGAGATCACATCCTAGACCAGCCCTGTAGACGTGACAAGTGGAAGGCAAGAGCTTTGCGGCTGCGAGCTACACGCAACCGCTGCCTGTTCCGCCAATTAGACCACACGAAGACCATGCAGAACAGTCCGGCTTCCGCGTCGTCGCATAATCCCTTTCCGTCTTCATCGACGCCGAACTCATTTATGGACACCTTTGACTTTGGCAATCCCGATTTTAGCAACGTAGCAACCACCGGCCTTGACGAGCTCTTTGCCAGCCACCAGCACGCTTCCACCTCGTCCCATCCAAACGCATTTTCCGAGTCCGGCTCGGCTCCCGTCAGCCATCATCCCAGCCCATCGGCTCCCCACCAGTCGGTTCAGCCCTTCTCTTCTGCTGCTTCATCATCTGGTCCCTCCCTCTCCGAACTCTCCCTGCGTCACGCGGGCAGCAAGGGTACAGCCTCCCACGCAAACTCGCCGTTGGGCTTCTCGCGCAATCGATTCGACAATCACTCGTCTGCAAGCCCCGCAGGCTCTGCATCAAATCACGTCGGTTCAGATCAAGGCCATCACAAGTCGTCGACGCCAGGCGAAATGAACTTCAACCCGTATGCCGACGCGTCGCAGCAGCAGCAGCAGCAGCAACAACAACAGCAACAACAGCAGCAGCAGCAGCAACAGCAACAGCGCAGTCAAGATGGTTCTCTGCCCCAACTTTCCATTAACGACCTTCAACAAATGCTGCTTGAGCGAGAAAGGACTGAAAAGATCCAAAATATGCAGACCGCTCTGCTCAAACAGCAGCTGGAGCAGCTTGCTCGCATGCAGCAGCAGCAGCAGCAGCAACCACAACAACAACAACAACAACAACAGCGAGCGGGCCAGAACCAGTCGCAGCAACATCAGCAGCAGCAGCAGCAGCATTCGCCGCAACATCAGCAGCATGGCCAGATAATGGGCAGCAATGGTAGCAACCTGTCTCTGAACCTCCTCAATCAAGTTGGCCAGCTCTCTTCTGAGCAGCAGCAGAGCTTCTTGGCCGCTGTTCAAAGCGCCTTTGCGGCGGGTAACAACCCCACGGCCCACAACAGTGTTCTGCAAGCCGCCTCCCAGTTTCAGCCACAACACTCACAGCAGGCTCAGAACGGTGGCAGCCAGTGGCACAGTGGCCAGTCCGGATCGTCGCAGGGCAGTTCGGTGGACAGCTCAAGTGTGCTGGCTCAGTATGGTCTGATCACTCCGCTTGGCTCAGGCGCGTTTGGCAACGTGGCATGTCCTCCCGGTCAAGCAAATTTCATGTCACCGCTCAACATGCCCTCCAGCTCCCAACCTGGCAGCACCGGTATTGAGCACCGTCCTGGACATGACTACCTTGGCAACTATACACCACTCGAGTCGCCCGCTGTTACACCGGCAAGTGTGTTCTCCACCGGAAGCACTGGCATCGTCATGTCCGAGCTTTTCTCACCCCTCACATCTCCAGCTCTGGGACCACAGCCGCCGTCGATGGCTGAGCTGATGCTACCTCCGGTGCACGTGAGTCAGCAGCACCACCAACAGCAGCAGCATGCCGCGCATCACCATCAACAGACTGTTATGCACGGCTCGCCGGCCTTCAATGCCGTGGCCTCCTCGTCGACTCCCACCGCGTCGCCGTTGGCGCTCATCGGCAAGACTTCGAGTGGATCGAAGATCCGCAAGAATCGCAGCACCACGGCAGAGGCGCGTGCCAACAAGGTCCGACCATCTCCGCTCATGAAACCGGTGCAAAGTGGCACGAGCGGTGCAAGCGGTACCGGTGGACGGAAGAAGAAGGACTCGATTTCGCTGCCCGCTGCGGCCATGGCCAACGGGAACGCGTCAGCGCCTGGTTCGCGGCGTGCCTCAATCACCGCTGACGCGAGCGGAGCATCGAATCAGTCGCGCTCGCATTCAAGACACCAGTCCACCGAGGCCGGACAGAGCGAAGGCACCAACTCTACACCTTCGCCTATCGATCTCAACAGTGCCGGAACCATGCCGCCGCCGTCGGGCCCAAGCAGTAAGCCGCTCACGCCCGGATCTATTATGGGCATCCGTCCACCCAACGATCAGAGGGCACAGTCATCGTCAAATCGAGGCACCAGCACGCCGCTTGCCTCTGCTCGCAAGGATGCGCAGACTGCACAACCGATTGCGATGGCACCCCAACCCATCGCGTCGCAGCCGCCCATGTACGCCAACATAGCACCCTTCCCCGGGTCGCACTCAGGCGCAGCAACGACCTCGACTGGACCGAAAGTGACGTTCAACCTTCCGGTACCGATAGGGCTGTCCAATGGAAGTGGCATGCCTGCCATTCAGCCTTCAGGCCTCTCGCAGGCGGACCGTGACGCCTGGATGTCGTACAAATCGGCGGGTGGGCTTGAATCGCGCCGCACCTCACACAAGGCTGCGGAGCAGAAGCGTCGAGACTCGCTCAAGTTTTGCTTCGACGAGCTGCGCGGACTGCTTCCGGCGATTGCACTTGACGAGGATGCGCCCAACGGTTCGCTGCTTGGACCGGACGGAGCTGTCGAAGACGTCGAGGCCGAGAATTTTGCGCTCGCAGACGTTGGCGACCCGGAATCTGCACGTAACGCCAACAAGGCCATCTCGAAGGTGGCCCTGCTGCGGCACAGCAACGAGTATCTCGTCCGTCTGAAAGGGCGTCTGGAGCGCCGAGACGCCGCACTGGCCGTTTGCCGCAAGGAGATCGTAGAGCTACGTAACAAGCTTGGTCTGGAACCCGCCGCAGACCCTGCTATCACTGGCCAGGGCCCGCCCAGAAACTGGATCGCGTCGGTTGCCGTGTCGGACATGCCGACGGAAGAGATCGACTTCGAAGCTGTGCATCACCTCGATATCCCCATCAACGCCGACTCTCCTTCGACTGCCGCCAACAAGGCTGAGATGGACCAGAGTGCCTGACAAGAATTGCATGTCTTGGTAATTTACCGTGCACCTCCTTGCATCTGCTTCCCGTGTTGCTTCTTTGCCTTTACTCAACCCATGGACCCTCTAAACATTTAGCGCTTTCGTAACCCCTCTAAGGCATCCGTGCCATGTCTCACTACATCTTTCCACTGTGCGCTCGCCTGATCTCGTTCTCGTTTTTGCACGCAACGCATATCTGTCATCCAAGTCAACCCGATGCGAGTGGGCAAAGGATGTCTGTTAAGCTTCGTCGGTACAACCCCAGAACAGCATGCACCAATGTGAGATTTTCCGATTTAAGACAGATAAGAGTGGCAAAAAGAGAATTTCCTCCGTCAGATAATATATTGACAACAAATTGAGGCTACGAAAACTATTTCGTCCACTATTAAAGCTAAATGTGCCAAAAAGTTCCCGGCCGGGGAATCGAACCCCGATCTGAACAGATCACGCTTCTGATGAAGAAGCAAGTCATGAGAGTGTCCTATACTAACCATTGTACTAACCAGGACTGCGATATCCAATACTGGATGAATTGTCAATATATAGTACCGTGACAAGACCCAAGATGGTCTACATCTAGTAGTGATGACTTCACGGCGAATGCGAGAGGCAGGCCCATGCAGTTGCGCACGTTCCTGTGAGCGTATCGAAGCTTCTCAAGTCCGGCTATTCACACAGATGCGCTGTTCCAGTCTCCTCCTTTACACAACCACTGATCACACCAAGGACTTCCTGCGTTCAGACCATCTCCATAATCGACCCTAGTCACTTCATCCCGAGTCGGAGTCAGGAGAGGCAGCATGGTTTCTGCCAGTGAACTGGAAGAGATCCACACTTTTGCCGTGGAGCTTGCCAAAAAGGCTGGTGCTGCGATCATCGCCGGATCCTCGAAGCGGTTTGAGTCTTCGGCCGGCTTTGATGAGAAGAAAAACACTGCAGATCTGGTGACCGAGACTGACCAGGCTACGGAAGAGCTGGTCAAGCGCGAAATTTCGACCAAGTACCCGGACCACGACTTTATTGGAGAAGAGAGCTGGGCTGCCGGCCAAGAAGGCGTCATTGGCGACAAGATCACTTGGATCGTGGACCCGATCGACGGCACCACCAACTTTGTCCATGGCTTCCCGTACACTTGCATCAGTGTGGGTGTCGTGGTAGGCAAGAAACCCGCCATCGGTGTCGTGTACGCTCCTTTCTTGGAGTATCTCTACTCGGCACGCACGGGCAACGGAGCTTTTTTGTCGACTCCCCAATCGCCAACGCCCCGACGTCTTCCGTTGGCCAAGCCTCAGCCTCTGCCCTCCCTCCGGCAGGCACTGATAGCGTTCGAATGGGGCTCTGACCGACGTAAGCACATCCTCGACCAGAAGCTCAACTCGTTCGCCAAGATCACGGGTGATCCCGACAGCGTTGGCGGCGGCAAGATGTGCCAGGGCGTCAGAAGCATGGGCTCTGCAGCTCTCAACTTTAGCAACGTCGCAGCCGGCAACATTGACCTCTACTGGGAGATCGGCTGCTGGGCCTGGGACGTGTGTGCCGGTGTCGTAATTGCTCAGGAAGCGTAAGTAACCGAGTCCGTAACAACGGTGTTACCGTATAAGATCGGATTGCAAACTTAATGTCTCATAACTTGCCTTGTTGTGGTCGTTCGGACTCGTGCAATACGGACCACTTCAGGGGTTGCGCCGTAGTCGGCTCGAAAAAGGCCGCAGCAGAAGCGGCCCAAGGCTCGTCGTTCAACGATGTCACGCCCGAGCTACTGACCGGTCGAAAGTACGTCGTGGTTCGTGCCATCAGTCCGGGCCAGAACGAGTCCGAAACCGACGCGCAGAAGCGCATTCTCAACGAGTTCTATGGCTGTGTCGACGAATGGGACCCTTAAGTATCTGCATGGGTCGATCGCTCATCCCTTCCGCAAATTTCAACAACATCATCTCTGCACACATCACGACATGTTGGATGACAATGAGTGGATATGGTGTGCTTCAACGGTCCATTTTCACGCATCATTTTTTGAGGGATGCGGTATAAGACGTTGTTGAGTGGATATATAACCAGTAATCCAGACACTGGATACGAAGTCCTGGTTAGTACAATGGTTAGTATAGGACACTCTCATGACTTGCTTCTTCATTAGAAGCGTGATCTGTTCAGATCGGGGTTCGATTCCCCGGCCGGGAACTTTTTTGCGTATTCATTTTTTTTCGCTCTATTCTTGGAGCCTGAGTCGTTGATGGCCGACCTGCCCGAAGTCCCAAGTTCTTAGCACCCGTGAACGTCATTTTCGAAGGTGATCCATCGTTGATTTGTATCGCTCGGGGCACTTGGACAGTTCCAACGACTTGAAGCACCCTTTTATCCAAGCGCGCGTCACACTTCGCATAAGGATTGAAAAGAAAGCTACATGATGTGTAGCAGGGGAAAGCTACTCGACGCGAGCGCAAGGCCGAGCGATCGAGAAAGGTATCGTACTAAAGAAACAGGGAATACTTTCAGAGCGTGGGTATCATGGTCTGGAAAAATCAGAACGAGCGGGAAAAGAAGCGATCGGGAGAGGGCCGTCAAGATGGTCGTAAAACAACAGTCGATTTGGCGACGCACTTGTTAATGAATGCGTGGTCAGATCAGTGAATAGACATGACAGAGGCATATCGAGCCTTTGGCGACTTGGCTTCGGGCTTGAGCGCTTCAAGAATGGCCTGCTCGTCGGTATCCGCAACGGGCGAAGTGGCCTCGATAGCCGCAAGAGGCTTTGGCAAAGAAACGGGAGAAGAGGAGAGCGAGTTGGACTGAGACTCAGACCAGCCCTTCTCGTCGCGGTACGCCTCGAGAGCAGCTACGGCAGCTTCAGCAGCGGCCCAGGCAACACGAACAGCCCTGACATGGAGATCGTGCTTGCGGACGAAGCGAAGGGCTCTACTTGTCTCGCGCACTGCGAGGTCTGTGCCCTTGGCCGTCAGATGGTAGCGTGCGTCAATGGCCGCTAGGATAGATACAAGTTGGCGAAGTAGTTGGTAGAGCTGTGAGGGCAGCGGGGAGCGTTTTAGCGCACGTGCTAGCGAGGCCGACAGCAAGATCAAACGATCTTCAGCGGACGCACTCTGCTGCTGTCCGTCGCCAGCCACGTAACCGTCGAGATGACCGTGCTGCGCAATGTAAAGCTGTGCGCCCGGAGAGAGGGCGCCTACGTCCATGGGCGATGTTTCGATATGGCCCGCTGCTGCTGCTGCCATCTCATGGCTATCCTTCGCGGCGTGCTCGCTCCTAGCCACCGCGCCTAAGCTGGACGCCAGGGCCGAAGCTGCTGAGCTAGCGAACGCCACCGCGAGTTCCCACTGACGGTTGTTCTGGTTGATGGCACGAGACCATGCAGTGCGCGGCGTAGCGGTGCCACTCGTCGGGGCAGAGGAACCTAAGCGCGGCGAGTTCGAGACAGAGACTGACGGGCTAGACAAGCCCTTTAGCTCTTCGTCAGTGTCGAGGTCTGTGATCTTGGGACCTTCCGTATTGTGATGCGAGTCCTTCCAGCTCTCGCTGCGACGGCTGCCTTTTGGGGCAATAGCCGAAAGATTGGCCGACACAGCTGAGAGCGCACCTGCACCAATGAAGAGGCCAATGTCGAGCACCGAGTTGCCAATCTTGCCAGCGATGGATGACGACGGGCTTGAGGAGGCTTTGGCCGCAGCATGCGCCCTTGAAAAGGCAGCGTCACCGAAGAAGGACTGATTCGGCACAGCGGTGTGGTAGTGATGGTGAATAACGTTTGCTGGCTGCGGCTGCTCGCGCTGCAGAGCAACTTTCTCCCTTTCCAGCTCGAGCTCGCGTCGTATGAGCTCGGCTCGCTCAAGTTCAGCCTTGGCATCAAAGCCGAGTTTCGACATGCCCTCCTCCAGACGTTGTCGGATGTCCTGCTTATGCTTGCTTGACAATCCCGGAGCCTCCTTGTCAGATATGGCGGAGATCAGATAGCCGAGAGAAGATATGTACAGGTCGAGTGAAAATCCGAGGTCGTCGTCCTCTTCCCTTTTTTCGTCTTCGCTTCTATCACTGTCGCCTTGGTCTGCTTCTGAGCTTTCGTCGGCTGACGCAGCAGTGAGTTGACCGCCACCCGACATGACACGTGAGCTGTGCAGGGATTTTGTACGAGGCTGGTGATGGGATCGAGTTTTGCGCATCGCCTGTCGTGCTCGCTTCTCCTCCCAGATCCTGTCGTCCTCCTCGGCCGCCTGCGCTGCCTCCACAGCGAGGCTCACGGCCTTGTCAAGACGACGTCGATCCAGCTTGACTGGGCGCTTGGAAGTGGTGTGCTTGATGATTTCGCGTTCTGCATCGGCGCCAGAGACGGTAGCGAGCGCCCGCTCCTCCTTTGGGGACGGGCTGAAAGGTTCGGCCAGCGAGGACTCGTCCGATGATGTGGGTGCCGACTGGTGGGATTGCGATGGGCTGAAGCGAGCTGGAACCCAGGCAGCAGCCAGACCGCGGATCGAATTGATGGACCTGGCGCGGATGCCCTCGGATCGACGCACTGTCTGGGTGTCATCGCCGAGCGCGTCGTTGAGGCGCGCCGCAGCCCTCCGCCCTGATGCAGCGCTGAGCGAGTTGGTCCGACCCGGAGTACCAGCCTGACGAGACACTGCCTTCTCATCATCTTCGAGCGCTCTTCTATGGGCAGCCATGGCGGGTGACTTGGCATAGGAGCGAGGCAGAGTCTGTCCTTGGGCAGCCGATGCCTTGCACGAGGCAGCCGTATTCGCGTCATCAGAGTGCGCCGGCTTGACAGCATTACCCACAATGGATTCCGAGGGAGGAGGCGATGACGTGGACAAGTGTGCGGAGAGATGCTTGGGACTTGCACGTGGAGAGTAGCGCACCGAGGTAGCAGGTGTGTAGGCTGAGGACGAGGAACTGAGTTCGGGACTGTCGAAGTTGCGGGGTGAGCGAAAGTCGGAGTCGTGGCTACTGCTCGTGGTGTGGGACGAGAGCCGCAGGGTGCGCGGCTGCGGGGAGAGGGGCGACGCGGCTGACAGCTCCTGCGACTCTGGACCAGGGAAGGAGATGAAGGACTTGTCATGATAGTCACGTTGAGACCTTCTAGTATTGAGAAGGATGCGAAGATAGAAGGAAATGTCAAGAGTCAGAAGAGCGATCATCGATATGAGGGCGAAGGCCTCGTCAAGCATGGTGGCGACTGTGACGCTGTGCAACATCATCACGAGCAAGAAGGTGACTGTCGACACGGAGGTATGCAACAAACGAGCATGGACATCATGTCGGAAGGGCGACGAGAGACGTAGTTGTGGATAGGGGAAAGCTTACCTTGAATGGCCGCGATAGCGGATCTCTTTGTCAAGGTTTCGATTCGAAGATGTCGGATCGGAGCCGCTCCCGCCGCTGCTGCTGCTGGCCGAGTTACGACGAGCGTTGGGGACCGGCATCTCGTCGGCCCACTCGGTAGGAGAGGGATTAGACATCATGAGCTCGGCATCTGTGCTGAGCGATTCATTGCCA